TGAAAGCTTTGCACTCCATCTGCTGTTACTAATGAGAGTTGTTGCTACTTTTAGTAAGTGAAAGCTTGAAAGCATATGTTTCATCATGCGGCTCTCTCAAGAGCGATTTACACATGAAATCTTATAAAACAAAAAATAATAAGAAATTCTTTTAAGCAACAAATTTTAAGTCACCTGCACGCAAATTAATTTCAAAATTATAATAATAAAAACTATTAACAATTTCAATTAATTTTCTATATTATTTTCAATTTATACATATATATTACAAGAAAAATTATCTAAAAACATGTAGGCTTTTCTTTGCAACAATTAATACTTAAATTTATAAAAATTACATATTAAAAATCGTTTAATTATGGAAGGCCCTGTATTTAAACGGCATCTTGTGGCATCATTACAATATTTGTTTTTGTCTATTTCTATTAAAAACTGCTTTCCTCTCTTTGCTGCCGTTTCGTTAAAGTGTAGTCTTCTTGCACATACTTATTTCTTCTGCTTATTACTACAGCTTTGCATTCGCTTCACATTTCGCATTATCAATTTGTTACTAAATTAACATTACATACACATTACATATACATACAATATAAGAATAATACAATAACAATAAAATTTCTCTAAAAATTGCTATCGCTCTGCAAATATGTTTCCTCTCCTGCTTGGTATTCAATTTCTTACTACTTTGTTGTTTCTTGTTTTTTTGTTTTTGGGTTTCTGTATATCTTTAATGGCATAACTTAGTTGCATTACATTATTAATTACATATGTATGCATTTACATTATCATTATAATATATATAAAAATAAATTAAATTTAGTAATACAAGTTTATTGCATATTTTGCCTCTTTTGTTTATTGTTGTAATTATACTTGATGTTTCGTTTACATTTTTAAAGTACTTCAGTATAACTGTGCATGGTGGCACAGCGTAAAATGACCGCTGAACATCCTTGCTACATACATACATATCGCGCGCTATTGCTCATTTTGTTTTTATTTTTCTTTTAATTTGCTTTCGAATCACTACTTTTAACTATGCTTTATCTATTTGTTTAGCCTATATCTGCCTATGCTCCTATGCGCCTATGCTTCAATGCATGTAATTATGTAATTGTTCCGTAAAATATTGCCTGGACTCTTAGACAATAATTCAATGATTGTTTCTCTTCATTATGCAATATTTATTTTGGACTTCCCTTCATCGCTTCTTCCTAATTTTTCTATGCATTTCGCTTTGCTAGTAATAGTTTTTAATAATATTTTTGTTGTTTTTTTCTGTTAACATTCGTTCTGCTGCCTACTTTAACTATGGTTGCTACCTTACTGCAAAATTGTTGCTATTGTTTTCTGTATTTGCTAGAAATTTTGCGTCGCTTGTGCTTATATTGTTTAAATTTGCCATGTATTTCAAGCCAGATCAATCCTACCTTAAGGCTTTAAGCTTTAGAAAGTTCTTGCTATTTTCTGTTTTTCAATCCATATCCTGCCTTTTTTAGCTTTAGTTAGTTCTTGCGATTGTTCGGATTTTAAGAAATCTGCGTTTAGACATTTTATTTAGAAAAGTGGTTTTATGTGCGAGTGTTTTTTGTTCAAAAAAAAGTTGACAGCCTCAGCCAAAAAACTATCATTAAATAACATTATTTAAAAGTTCCGTTATAAGCTTAACAGCCAGTTAGAACGTTACGGCTTAATTGAAAATATGTAGCTTTTAAAGTTTTGCTTCGTCGTCGATCTCGATTCAAACTTAAGTGCCTCAGATTCCCTCTAGCACATTTTTAATCTCAATAAAAACACTTTCCAGTTATAAAAAATTTGTAACCTCATGCTGGATCTCAAAACTTGCGCGCTGCTACCTCAAATCGAGCTGAGCGTACCTAAACCTTGTACAAAACAAAGGATTACCGTTTAAATGGAAGAACTGTTTTGGTTGTTCTTCAAGCTGTCGCATAGTTAAGATAGGTTAGTAAAGAGCCGACTCTAGGAGAGTGAACTCAATTGTTTTATTTCTTCGGCTTGATGTTCATCCGTTCCAAAGAAAAAATCGACAAAATATTTTCAAGAGAGTCAAAACTACTATTATCGGGCTTAATTGTGACGCGGGGATTGACGAGTTAAGTTCTTCTCTATATCGCTTTCGATGCTTTGATGACTTAGTAAACACATTTCGTTACGTATTAAGCACCAGTTCTTGTGGTGTCGCTTTTCAGTACCTTCTGCTTAATTGACATTTCTCGTATATAAATCTCTTCACAATAAGCCATTTCGTCCAACACAGTTTTTCAATTCAGTTTTGAGAGAGTCTTAGCCAAAGGTTTCTCGAAATAGTACAAATGTTAAGAGATTTCCGTGAAGCACCGCTCAAATCAAACTCAAGACCTGCTCATTGTCTGCTTACACATGTCGATTAAGCAATCGGCTAAGTAGAGAGCTTAACGGTATCTTCTCCAAGTTTGTGACTAAACCTAACCTTATTCCAGCCACTAGCTTACTATTAGCCTACCATTTCTTTACAAATATTTATGAAATCGTTTTAGCTGAGCTATCAACTCCTGTTGAGACTTGCAGTTACAATTTTACGGTTTCTTAAACTGTTTCATTTTCATAATTATTAATGAAGGACAGTGCGGATTGTAGTTATATTTGCATAATTTTTTGTCAAACACATTTTTTATTAAATGTTTTTTTGTAAAATAACTTTGCACTTAAGATTTCTATTTAATCGCAAATATTTCTATTCCTTCCTCTCCTGTAACTCATGTCCTTTATGCAGTTTAAATTGTACCTAATGCATTAGTATCGCATGTATGTATGTAGGTAGGCTTATTGTATATTGTATGCCTCTATATTTGTATTTTTATATGCTTGTATGGGTGTGTGTGTGTTTATGTTAATTAATTTAGTTTTTGGTTTTGGCTATTCAGAAGATAGTAAGTAGCTAAGTTTGCATGTAAGTATGTATGTGTGTAGTTATATCCATACTATCTGTGACCTTTGTGTTTTGTGCTCCTTTAGAATCCTTGGATGACTTCGTACGCTTCCAAAGTGCTCATTATTAGGTAGATCAGCCACAGACTGAAGAAAATGGCGCTGTGTATATATTTTTGTGGTGACGGGCCGCCCAATTCGCCACCTATGGATTTCTTACGTCGATACATTATCAGGAACACGGCAATCAAGGCTCCCGATAGGAAAAGCGTCACCGAGAAAGCCAAGCTTTGGAAAGTAAGTGAAAAAATTTTGGGTTATAAAACTTTCGGATGACACCATGGTTTCTATAATAAATAAGCAGTATTGTGGACTCTGAGTTCGTAGATAATAATTGGTTACATGTTGTCATTATGTAACTTAGGTAGTGGCGAATCAAATAAACACCTGCCTACTGCTATCAAAAAAGTCTGTTATTACCAAAAGAGATAGAAGAAATAGCGGAAGAAGAATAATGTCTCCACTTCTCGTATCACAATAATCATGGTGAATAATTTTTTTACTAGAAAGCACAGCTCAAACATAGCAGATAACACAAGAAAAACGTTAACTTCGGTTGCACCGAACGATCGGTCCTTTTGTATGTATCGTCAGAGATGTTACTGTTGTCCTAGAAAATAATCCATGTCATATTTCATGAATATGTAGCTCCCCAAATGAAAAAGTTTTCAATGCAAGCACTGAATTTTGATCGTTCAGTTAGTATGATATGACAGCTATACACTATAGTGGTCCAGTCTGAACAATTTCTTAGCCGATTCTAGCGTTGTCTTAAGCAATAATCCATTAAAAATTTCGTCAAATAAAAAAAAGTACGGATGCTACAGCAGTCTGATATCGGCGCTTCCAAGAAATTAATTGCTTCGTGAAGAGAAAAAAACTTGTGCAAATTTTCAGATCGATATCTCATAAACTGAGGGACTAGTACGCGTATATAAAAACAGACGTACCGACAATATTCCCTGTTAACTTTATACAAATGGCGAATCACAGTCGGCTATAGTTTAACTCTGACCAAATTGACTATTCTCAACTCAGTCTCAATAACACTCTTTTAGCTTAAATATATCGAAACAGATATATTATCGAACCATATACTTTGTCCCAGATAAAAATAAACCCATTTCAACTTACGTGCCCGCCTCCACTCTGAAGGCCCGTCCATGCGATTCATGGTATATAGCGGCCATGGTCCACGCTACACCGATACCAAGGAAGACATTCACTGCATTACTACCCGTCACATTGCCGATACTCGCATCGGCCGTCTTATCCTGTATGGCGGCCACTTTACTGGCGAATGTATCTGAAATCACAGAATATTATGTGTAATGTACCGTTATGAGCTATAAGTAAGTAACTGCATAAACTAGAACTACAGACAATAACTGTGCCTTCACGAAATTTAGAGCGTACAGAGCGTAAGTGTGAGCAGGTAGGTGTGCGTGAGAGAGGCATGACAGGAATTCGCACTTACCTGGCAAACTGGTGCCGAGCGCTACAAAACAAATCGCCGTTACCGCATCCTTAACGCCAAGCGTGCAACCGAAATGTGATGCCACATCACCAATTAGTGCTGTCACCATGCCGATGCCACATATCGAAACAACAAAGCACAAATAACCGTTGGCAATATCTGTATAATAATGGCGGAGTTGAGAAATTCAATTAGGAACAAGTACTTGGGTAATTCAAAAGTAATTGAAACGCTATGCAAGCAAATGCGCTCGCCGAAGTTTTTGGTGTTTGTGTAGTGATACTCACCTGTTGGCGGTATGAAGGCGAATAAGATTTTCCAGAAGAGCGTTAGGAAATGTAATATGTAATCGAAGCATGAAGGCGATGAAGGCCCATCATCGTCACCACCATCGCCATTGCCATCATCATCGCCTAAAGATAATGAAGAGGTTAGGATATTTATAATATATTATTATATTCTTGTTCTTATAGTATATCATCATGGGCTTTGAATATAGTGGAGCGAAGTTCGAGAAAAAACGTTGGTTCTGAAATACTATACCTCATATCCCCCGGGAGGTAAACCCTTTTAGTAATGTCTCTTATAACTTTTTGGCAAATGTGTGGATTTTTGTAATTATTTGGTCTTCTTTATTTCTTAATCGAACCATATACTATATCAATGGACCTTGAAATGAATTCAGTCCCGACCAAAAAGAAGTTGGAATAGCAATTACATTAAGAACAACAAAGCGGTGGCATCTAATGGATTGTCGGCCGAGCTATTCAAATATGGCGGCGAAGATCTGATAAGGAACATGCAACAGCTTCTTCTTATAGATTATGGCCAGTCGAACGCATAATCAACTACCGTGGGATAATTCTCCTTAACATCGCTATAAGCTTCTATCAAGCGTACTTTGTGAAAGATTAAAGTTCATCGTAAAGAAACTGATTGGACCTTAGCAGAGTGGCTTAGATCTTCGTCGACTTCAAAGCTGCTTTTAGCAGCACAAAAAGGAGCTGCCTTTATGGCGCTATCTCCGAATTTGGTATCCCCCCAAAACTAATACGGAACGGGAAGGACCTCACCAGGCTGTTCGATAGCAAATGAGGTTTTAGACAAGGCGACGACCTATCGCGCGACTGTATAAACTGTAATGGAATAAGAAGCGAAGGAAATAGGTCTGGTAGTTATATGAAAAATACAACTGCATTGACAGCGGCTACGCTGGCAGTGAGGCTAAGTACCCATCGGACTGCCCTTTTGGAGCGAAATATCGCTAGTAAAATTATTATAGTCTATTCATATTGTTTCTTCTTTCTTTATTAAAATTGTTTTTCGGGAAAATTTGCAAAGTACAAAATCTTTGCTGTTGGTGACATATATTTACAGCCATGTAAGCCGATGCATTAATTTTCATTTAGTAATATATCTTACCAGCAGTTACCGTCAACGCATCCGCAAACTGTTCCTTCCACGACGATGTGCCAATCAGCAGTGACGCATTCGCCCTTTGCACCAATTTATCCACAGTGTTCTGGCGGTGTAAAGTCGCGGCAAGAGTGAAAGAGAGAGGAAGAGAGAGAGAGAGAGAGAGAGAGAGAGGGGAAAAATTCAATTAAAGCATTGCAACGGAAGTTTTATTGAACACAATTAATTTTATTCACCTTAAATTCTTTGCTCTCCTTGATGCGCAGCTCGGCACGCACCACCTCGCCCAACTTGGGACGGCCCAGCAAGGCCATTTTGTCCTCCTCCGTTAGTTCCTCCGGTGCCTTTTTCTCGGCGGCCTCAATAAGTCCTACCATTTCATCGTCTGCAGAGGCGTCGTGTCATTGCAACAGCGGAGGGAACGGCAGCGTGAATAGCAATAAATTTTGTTTGTTTAAATAACGGCATAAATAAATGTGCAAATATGCCGTTACACAATTAAGACGGGGCAACAAATAAGAAACGAGGGTATTCACAGTGCTTATGATGACGGCTGCATGAAATATTTTATTTTGAGACCATGCTGCCGGGTCCGGTGTTGTACTTTGAAGCGAGTTTTCTTAAATATTCCAATATGTCCACCGATCCATTCATTATGTATTTGTGAATACCCTCATTTCAAGAGTACAATTTTTTTTCATAAATATTTTTTGTTTGTTAACAGAAATTTAGTTGTTATTTAGTTCTTGTCTAAAGAATGTGACAACGATTTGGTAAACATGAAATCACAACAACAACAAAAAGCAAGTTTTATATAAATACAAAGACAAACATTGACGAAAAGTCAACAAGTTCAGCACTTTGGATTGACTTGTTGCAACATTGGCGGTAAGCGAACACGAAAAGCCGATGCAGCTGATAGATAAACACTTAAACACATTCACATATACATATACACAAATGTGTATGCATGTCAATTTAAGTAAAATAAAAAGGGAAAGGAAAAAAAAAACAATGCACGATAAATGACACAAAACTGTATTTAGTATTGGGTACTTACAACTTGGAGCATGCAACATGCCACTCTACACTTAGCCATGCATAGAGGCAACACGTAAGTATATACATATTTATATAGAGAGCATATATAGTTCAATATACTTAATTGGACGGCGGCAAAGATAGTGTATGCAAATAGACATGCAAAATGACAGGTGGGTGAAAAATAATAGCAGCGGGTAGTGGGGTAACACGGAGCTGTGACAAGCTGCACAATTAATGCATAAAAAACTTGAAATATTTTTGAGGCGGTAATTGGATTGCATGCCACAAATACTTATTTATAGACAAACAAAGTGTTTTATGACATAATATTTCACTTAAAAGTTTGTAGTATAGCGATAGTAGCGAAAATAGTAGTAAAAAATTAAATTGAAAATTTTATTAAATTGTAATATATTCATTTTATATATTTATTATCATGAATAATATTTTAGATATTTTACATATTTAGAAAAAAATATATGTACAAATCGTCACCTAAAATGCAAAACAAAATATCGTCAAAAAAATCGAAATTGAGTTTTTTATTGCTTACGATTCACTACATCGTATTGCACATGTACATATACATATGCATCATAAAATTTTTTGTTGCCGTTGTCAGATATACATAAGTAATATATATATAGTATATATCATTGTACTGATAGCGTGGCTAGGGTGTCTTTTATTGTCAGCTCAGCAGTTTTAGTCACCTGCGATTCCGCTGTGCCCTCGCAACCCATTACAAAATGACTCAATGCCAACGGCTCCTACCCACCTACATCTCTCTCGCAGGTATGTGGGCAGAGACACAGCCGCCAGATTTGGTTTTACTTTCAGTAGGGTGGTTATTCAAAAACACCAAAGTGTTGATGTTTGATTAATGAATGTAGTGAATTGTAGGAAAGAAAAAATCTGCAACCATTGTTGCAGAGCAATGGGCTCCTTTGATAACTTTGTGATTTCCTGAGAACTCTGAGCACGGAAGGAATTTTGTCCGATTTCCAACAACATCCGTCCAGTCTTTTCTGACTGACTGCAATCAGTTGTTCTTTCATGCTAATTTTTTTTGAACTATTAATTTTTTTCAGTCCCGTAAGGAAATTTCCTTGGAAATACCCTAAAAAAAATTCCCCGACAATTTTAGCCCTTAATATTAACATTAGGAACTGGACCAAGGCCTGTAAAAATTTTTCATAGAAAATACACTGCAATCGTGTGTTTTTATTTTTAAATTCCTACAGATCAGAGGTACGAGGTGTGTTCAAAAAGTATCGCGAACTTTGAATTTTCGCGGTTTATGTATATTCGAATTTCGAATTTTTTGCGGCGTTTTGTTGGTACTCATGTCTCTCACTTATGCCGACAAGCTCGGCCATTTTCAATATTCATTTAATTGTTGACAGCTGCTTTGCTTGTATGTGTTTTGGATCGTCTTCGATTTTTACCTATTCAAAAAAATGGATCAAAGAACCTGTATCAAATTTTATGTGAAAAACGAAATTAAGTGCGCGGACGCATTCCGAATGTTGACTATGGCATACGGAGAAGCGACTTTGGACCGAAGCAACGTTTATCGGTGGTACAAAATGTTCTCAGAAGGATGAGAAGATGTGAGAAAAATTGGCTTTTGCACCACGATAACGCCCCTGTTCACACATCGTTGCTTGTGCGCGACTTTTTGGCCAAAAACAACATACTAATGATGCCGCAGCCACCGTATTCCCCAGATCTGGCCCCTGTGTGTCTGTTTCTTGTTCCCTAAACTGAAGAGGCCCATGAAAGGACGACGTTACGCTTCTCTTGACGAGATAAAGACGGCATCGAAGGAGGAGCTGAAGAAGATAAAAAAAAAAAAGATTTTTTGAAGTGCTTCGAAGATTGGAAAAACCGTTGGCACAAGTGTATTATATCTCATGGGGATTACGTTGAAGGGGACAAAATAGATATTCATGAATAAATAAATAACTTTTGAACAAAACACAAAATTCGCGATACTTTTTGAATACACCTCGTATTTTATGGCATCGCTTTGACTTTAGACGCATATTTCTCAGAATTGTTCACTCTACAAAAGTGCCCAGTGCAACAAAGTCGCAACTCACACCGGCGAGGTAGTACGGGCCTTTAAACCCGATTTTTCCAAGAATTTCGCATTTTTTTGTATATATCTCGTAAATGACAGGAGCTATAGAAAAAATTTACATGACAAATTTGTAGGAAATTTAAAAGTCAAAATCGCTATCATTAATACTTCTCGAGATATTTGGTTTTTTAAGTAAGGCTTTATAGAATTTTTATAAATGGTATGTATTAAAAATTCTATGAAAATTGCATCAGTACGCCTATTCCAAAAAGCAAATTTGGTACATATAGTGAGAATATCTATATGACTGTAATGTCCACGGAGTCGATATTAAAGATGGTATGGAACTGAAGAGGAATCTGTTGGAGATATGCCATCGAAGCAGCGCTCCTTAAGGTAGTGTTATGGTCATGGGAATAGATCAATTTTCGTTCTCGTTTTTAGAATCTGTAGGTGCCAGGGCCCGTCTACTATTCTCCACCGTCCATTTCAGGGTTGGTCATCGCCATATTACGACAGAGAGAGTAGCCCTTCTGTTGTTGCCGATTCTGGAACAGAGTGATGGTCAGGACGATCACACCGGAGTACGCCCGGATTAAGTTTGGGGAAATATTATTACCACATTTGCACAAATTTTGTAGAACCTGCATGCAATCGGTTAAGTATTCCTAGGTTAGTAGGAACTAATCAAATATCATGGGGCTTTAAGGTAGGCTATTTTAAAATTTGTATTTATTCATAAAAAATTTATTAATATTTTTTTATATTTTTTATTATAATTTCAGTTCTATATTGCTTTTTTTATTATAATTTAAGTTCTATATTATTTTTTGTCATTATTTACCGCTATTACTTATTAGACATAATTTAGACATTTATGTTCGCTACTGACAATCTAATATTATCACATAAGTCACATCTATCACTGACACTTTAAAAAGCTTTACTTCAAAGTAGAATGCGAATTAAATATATATCTTTTAATACAAATATTTTCACATCGAATTGACTTTCATTGCGTTTTAGTGCATATCACATGATATCATACACAATTGGGAGCTCGCATTAAATTTGGGATTATACAAAGACAAAAAAAAAAGAACATAAACAACAAATTAGGCGGAAAAAATAAACACAGCAAATTGTGTTTTTTGGTTAGGCTAAACAGTTATGTAGTACGAAGTCGTATTTTATGAAAATTACTTACAAATTTTGTTTTTATGAAGTTCGGTTCGTACAAGTCAAGTGCAATGCAAATCGGGTGGAGTACAGTGGTACGAAACGTACGGTTCGTTGGTAGATTTTTTCATATTTTTTTTTTGCAATTTTTTTTTTGTATTTTTCGTGTGTAGGATTGTTGATTGTTGTATTTATATATATTTACGATATTTTTTTGAATATTTACACATTTTTAATTTTTCAAATTTATATACGTTTTGCATTTGTTTTTTGTTTTTTTTTTTTTGAATAGATATGCAAACAGAAAGTAATCAATCAAATAAAATCATTACATTTACATATTGTTTACAAATTGCAATGTTTTTATGAAAATGCAAATTTATTGTGGCAAGCGAAAAGTAGGAAGAAGCAGCAGCAGCAGCAACAGCAAATGCGTGGACAGCGAAGCCACAAAAGCCGGACGGGGTGGTTTGTATGCAAATAAGGTTTATTTATTTTAATTTTTATAATTTTGTTTTTCATTGTGATAGTATTGTGGTTTAGTTTTGTTGTTGTTCAAAATTATTTAAAATATTTATAGTTGACGCAAGTTGTTTGTGATTTAGTCATTTAGAGTGTAAAACGCCAATGAGTGCGTTCACAAATCCAGTTAGGTGGGTGTCCCCGAGCATTTTAAAATACCGCAATTGGAAAGAAAAATAAATTAATTGCTCAAGTAACACGCTTTTGTAAAAAATAACATGTAAAACATATTACATTACTTTCGTATACAAATATTGAATTTTCACAATTAACAGAGCTTAATTTACAGCGCTGATATTTTAGTACTAAGTTTAAAACAACAATTTTTGAAACGCTTTTAGTCACCACAATTTGTTGCAAAACTTTTAAATACAATTTTTAACAATTTTCATAATGCAAATGCACCATTTCTTACCTAAGCAACTTGTCAGTTACAAAAAGGCGCAATTTTTTTTATAAATAATAAATAATTAAAAATTTTTAAGTAAAATATTTATACAATAGCTTCTCGAATCACATACACAAATAATGCATTTACAATAACGAATTTATGAAGCACAAAGAACACATTTAGACAATATGTAGAGAATGCATGTGTTGTGAATAGCCCTAACCGTTTTTATGTGTACTATGAAAACGTTAAAAAATATAAATAAATACAAAGAACTTATGGCGTGAAATTGTTCATGTGACAGATAAATCTTTGTTGAAAAAAGTAAATAAATAAGATGCTGTATACTTATTATTTATTATTAGGTTACTATGTCAAATGTGAATACCACCACCAAAAATGTTTCCCTCAAAAAAAAAAAAAAAAAAAAAAAAAAAAAAAAAAAAAAAAAAAAAAAAAAAAAAAA